TCTATCTCTCTCTTTCTATATATATATATATATCACATACACACATACACACACATAAACATACATTGGCCAAAAAAAACCCCATCACCTTCTTCTTCCCCACTTCACCTGTAACTCAAGCTACACATACACACACTGAAAGGTAAAACACACCCACACACATGCAAAATCACAATTCATATTTTTCACCTACATCTAGAATTTAAAACACACACACATGGAGTTTACAGATTTGAATTCATACATACAGGTACATTTTCCATCTGAAAAGAGAGAGAGAGAGAGAGAGAGAGAGAGAGAGAGAGAGAAATCAAGAGCATATATATTCAATTTCTCAGTGTGTGCCTGATGTTTTCCCTTAGTGGGAAGCCGAAGCCTAATAATGTGACAAAAAGCCCTAACAGTAAGAGCAGCACCATTGATTCAACTAATTTTGTCGTTCCGATCACTGCTCCTCTTCCACTGCCAACTCTCGTTCTCAGCCTTTCACATTTTCTGTAACGACGTAAATTTTCAAACCAAATTTTTCGATTTAAAAACACAATTATCACAGTAACAAAATCCCAAAATGTCACAATGTCAAAACATCAAATCCCACAATCAAAAACTGTATATATATATATATATATATATATATATATATATATATATATATATATATATATATATATATATATAAACTCGAGGATCCTCTAAATCATAAATCAAACTCTGATGTGTGTGTACAATCATGTCGGAGCCTTCCCGTGATCCTGAGAAGTACCCGAAACACATAACACGGTAAGCGCGAAGCTTAGTGAGTTCCACAAAATACCACATACAACACATTAGTCACTCGAGGCTGTAACTCTGATAGACCCTCTGGTCAATGTATCTCAGTGGGACCCTCCAGTCCCACAACTTTGATGGCCCCTCCAGTCCTAACTCTGTAGACCCTTTGGTCCTCACTCTGTGGACCCTCTAGTCCTCACTCTGTGGACCCCCCCGTCCTAACTCTATAAACTCTGAATAATACATAGCATAAATCACACATGCATAATGTAGTAATATCACTGTACTCAATTAAACACATAAGACCCTCTGGTCACACATAGATACCACTCTAGGTAAAATATAGCGAGAAGACTCATGTCGTAAGCTAGCAAGTAAAAGTCTCATACTCGAAAACCTCGATCTAGCCTCCGCCTAACACATAGGATAATTATCTCTAATTAATACTCTACTCATACTCAAATACACCAAAAGTTATTCTCTCTTTCACTCCCACCCTAAAAATAGGTAAAAGACCATTTTACCCCTCCCTGGTCTCCATTACTCATTTTGACCAAACCCTAAAGTCAATAGAAGTCAAACTCAAGTCAACAGTCCAAATTGACATGACTTGTCGAGTGCACTCATGCGACTCGTCGAGTCTACTCGTTTCCCAGCAGTCTCTTGAAGGTCCAACTCGTCGAGTTAACCCCTAACTCGCCGAGCTATTACATGGTCCAGCTCATCGAGATAAACCCTAACCAACTCATCGAGTCGGCTCATCAACTCGGCGAGTCCATTCAGACTCATCTCGCATTCAGACGATTTCAAGGCAGAAAACCCTCTCACACTCTAGATCTAAGCTCTTAAGGCTTGTTTAACATGTAGCGCCATGAGCTTTACGTTCATGCATGACACTTAGGGCTTGAAATGCCAAGAACATGCTTTATTTGGGGTTTCTCATTCAAGGATCTAGTATGGTTGAATAAAGCAGGGAACTTTAGGCTTTATGGACCTCACAAGGTCCATATCTGATGTCCAAATCTCTAAAGGTGCTCAATATCTTCAATGTCCTAAAATAAGATGGAAAAGAAGCACTAAACTCTAATGACATGAGATTTACCCAAACTAATGATAAAGGCACGAACTTTATACCTTAAACAGAAGCTTCTAGATGATTAGCAATAGATCTATCAACCTCTTCTCGTTCCTTTCTTGAAATCCTCTTATTCTCTTCCAAAATGCACTAAAGTTCTCAATATTAGCTCAACACTTTCTCTAAAGCTCAAGGGGGCGATTATGGTTTCTCTCAGTAAAGGTAAGCAAATGGGGAGCCATAATTGAGGCTAATAATGTCCTTATATATGCCCCAAAACTGGGGATTTAGGGTTTCATCTCACAACGCCTACTCGGCAAGTCAACTCTCAGACTCGTCAAATAGGTCATTAATCTCATGTGGCCGCACCTGACCCTACTCGACGAGTTGTAGCACCAACTCGTCGAGTTTCTCGATAATTCTCAAAAATAAATAAGTAAATAATATACCTGGAATTTCGGATGTTACATTTTCCTGTTGGAGTTTGTTGTCTGATAAGGCTAAAAGATTCACATATAACCAAATGAGGGGTACCTATTACAAATTTGTTGTTATGACCCTTATTTTTAATGTGTGTTTGGGTTTGCTTCTCTTTCTTTTAATGGATCCATGGAAGAATTGAGAGAAACACCAGACCCTTGTTTTCGATTTCTTGTAGGGGATAAGAAAAAGGCACACAAGACATATTTGACATTAGAAAGGAGGATGTGGAAGGTGAAGTATGAAACAAGGGTGACCATAGTTGACGCCAATCGAACCCCTACATGATCCGATCAAAACCATGCTCCCCTACCCCCTCTAGTTAAACCCCTTCTCGATTAATGCCTCCCTCTTCTATCTTCATTTTTGTATCTAATCTCTTTTCATCTCGATTCAATGATTTGATGGGTCTGATTGATACTATGGTTGAGGTGGTTGATATGTATCTTTGTTGCAGGTTTTTTGGTCTAGAAATTATAAAGAATACTAGGTGGGGAAGTAGACGGAGTGGGGAAGAGGAAGATAGGAAATTGGGTTAGGGAAGAGGAAGATGTGGATGAGGGTTTGACTTTCAGAGAGAGAGAGAGAGGGGGGTGGGTCCCTTTTTTTAATTATTAATTATTAAAGTAAATACATAACTATTATATTTTAAAAAAATAAAGGAAAATACAAAAAATAAATACCCCAATGGATATTACAGTCATTTCAGTTTATTAGGGGACAAAATCTGCAACGAAACTAACTTAAAATGACCATAAAGGCAAAAAAAATTAAAATTTAGACTAAACTTCAGAAAAAATACATACCTCATGGACTATTTTTATAATTCCATCCAAAAACTACCAAAAATAAATAAGGTATTTTGATTTATCATTATTTTTTAAAATTTCATTTTACTTTAACTTTTTGAAAGTCATATTTGGGATAGTATTCTTGATGTGTTTTAAAGAAAAGTTAAATCTATAATCATTGTAAGTTTTGGAATTGAAAAGAATTAATTATAATATTTTTGCAAGGAGATAATGATAAAATAATCACCGTCGTCACTCATCATTCATCAATAAAAAAATTAAAATAGTTATGAAATAAAATAATCATCTCCAATAAAGCATGGTACGTAATAATTTGATAAATTACAAGTCTTTACTCTTTATATTCTCTACATAACTCGAGGTTCAGGTAATTAACCCTAGCACTTGTATTAATTAATTGTAGAATAAGTTACGAATTTGATTTTTAGACCATACACAAAATATTATAGCCTATAGGTTGTCTTTTTATTTTATTTTATTTTATTTGACAGGTAGTCAATATAAGCATGGACTAGTTTATACTTATATAGTGAATACTTTTCGTTAAAATTAACACGTGCTAGGATTTTTTTTCCAAACATTTTTGTCCTTTCACAAACTTCATCTTTAACGTCTTTTATTCTTCATATAATCTTTATTGAAACCTTGATTTAGAAAATTAAGTAAACATGTGTGCATAATATTTAATTACTTTTATTTAAATTGCGTGTATAAAGTATATACATCTTATAAAATAATCCATTTGTAAAGAATCAACATTGAGTCACGACTCACGCATCATTTGGTAGATTTTTTTATTTTAAATATTTTATATGAAGTTTTAGTATTTTTTTTATAAATACTTCAAACAAGCTTATTAATATACTCATTATTATAATTAGAGATACCTAACTATGTATATCTATTTAGCCTTTTGTGTTTAACAAATTCCTTTCTAAACAAAGTTAGCATAACATTGGATAATGCTAAAGTCTATGTTTTATAAGATTGGATAAAGATTCATTTTTTATATAAAAAAAGTGTGTCAATGGGCTTGTTCATGAATGACTGTTCGATGATATGGAAGGCACAATATAAGGTATCCATTTCTTTTATAAGAAAACAATTCAAAATTTTTATCAAAAGAGAAAAGTATGCAAAGTGGTATTAAAAAAACAAGGCTATTGAAAAATCAAAGCAAAAGAGCAGGGCATGCTACAATCATCTCCCAGCCTACTTTAATCATATTTCAAGACAAAAAACAAATAACAAAATAAGAACACAAAAATTCCTAATCGACAAGAAAAATAATAAAAATGACCACATAAAAATGCTAAAAATCACTTCACGAAAATTTTGAAGCCTAAGCACAAACAATGTATGGCAATTCATTGATAGAAAATTGAGGTATGAAAGAGCGAGACAGTTAGTAGTAATGGTTTCCAGAGGAGGTTGAAAAGATATATCATAAAGTGTATTTGGTAATATCTACCATTTTTTATTTTTTATTTTTACATACTTGAAAGAAAACCAATAGAAAAGAAAATTCATGTTTGGCATCTCTTTAGTTTTTGAAAACTCCAATTACTTCTCTTTTATACACATGGAAAATGACTTATTAAGGTAACTAACTATTTCGATTGTTCATATATAGGTGATGTTCTTTTTTTGTACTCATTAATGAAACCAACTTGTTTTGTATGTTCAAATTTAGGTAATACGACCGGCTATCACCTGTTTTTGCTTATGTGGCATCCACCTGACATATGACTTGAATATGTTGCACCTACGTGGTATGGTGCATATATTGTCGTCATTCGATTACACTATAAGAAGTGTGTCATACGATTACACCCCTAATTTTAAACCTAGATTGATCGACGATGGCTTCTTCTTCCTCATCTTATTCTTCAAAACGACAAGATGAATTTCAAGTTGATCATCCATGTGATTGCGACTTACCATCTCGTGTGAAGATTTCAAGAACTCCTGACAACCCTGGAAGAAAATTTAGAGTTTGTCAAAACTCGATGGTAAATCAATATTGTTGAATATGTTGCAACTTTCTTCTTCTTCATCCTTCAATTTAACATTTTTTAAATTTTTGTTCAAGAATGGAAAAAGTTCAAGTTGTAAATTCTGGCAATGGTTGTATGCGAATGAAGGGAGGACAGATGAAAGAAGTCCTTACAGGAGGAAACCAAAAGAAAACCACAATTTAACCTTGAAAATTTGCACTTTGGAAAATGAAATCAACATATGTAGGATGAAGATCGAACAAGAAAACAACACGAACTTGGTTAATAGACAAGAATTGGACAAAGTCAAGTGGAGGTTGTTTACTCACAAAGGGACACTGATTTTGTTGTTTTAATTGTATGTGAAAATGTTGATTTAAATGTAGTTCATGATGTATTAGGGTTGAATAATGTAGTTCATGAATGAAACTTGATTGGTATTAGAATGATGTAGTCTATCTATTTTTATGTATACTTATGCATGTAATTAATGCGACAAACTTGTGTTACATGTTTTTTCTTCTGATCTAACGAATGGAACTTTTGTATTAGAATGAAGAATAATTAAACACTGGAATGGTATATAATGAAACATGGGAATGTAATATAATCAAACATTGGAATGTAATATAAGCAAACATTGGATTCCTAGGAAAAATTGTTTACAAAAGATGTGCCATAAGTTAGTTTACACATGCATTACTACCAAAAGGTACACACAAGATTCCAAAACTTACACATATGACTAGAAACAAGTCCAAAAGTTACACATATGACTAGACAAAAGATTCATAGTCAATGATGCCAAAAAATAACAAAGTGCCAAATTCTATTTCAATTTCATTGGATTTTCACTACTACTCCCCTATTTCCCCTCCCACTTCTTTCTTATCTGGATTTTCGTGATTCTTTCTGAAGGTTTCCTTCTTCTCTTTCCCTATAGAACTTGAAATGCAGGTACTTATTGCATATACTCCTCTTCCACTGGATATTGAACTGCTGCCTATCCTTGGTTATCTTGTCCAACTAGATCTTGAAGTGCATCAAGCTCTTCACATTCTTGACCTTTACCTTGTCCTTGAACTTCAACTTCAACCGGGTATTCAACAGGATCTACAACTGCAGCCTGATATTCACCTTCTTGAACTTCAACTTCAACATGTGCTTCAACTTTAACCTATTGCTCAACCCCTCCAATTACACCTTCACCCTGTCCTTGAACTTCAGCTTCAACCTCAGGTTGGTCTACATCTTCATATGTATGATTATCCTCTTCAAAATCAACTTCATAAGACTCCACCTCATATCAGACTCCATTTGAACTTCACTGTTACTATTACTTTCCACATCAACTTCTTGAATCAATTCAATCTTCACTTTACCTGTTATGAAATAATTTAAATGTTAGCATTACAAGCTGTTATATTGTGATCAAAAGGTAAAGGAGAACACATACCTTTTTTTTTTGGCTTTTTTTTACTTTGGCTTTGGATTTGACTTTGGCTTTGGATTAGATGATTCCCGAATTGGTTTTTGAGGACATTTGGCTTTATTATACCCTGTTTCTCTACATATGTTGCATCTAATAACAATACCCCTTTTTGAGATTGTATGCTTATTGCCCTTTAGTTCACTCTCAATCTGATCCCTTTTCTTTTTTGTTGATGGTCTTCCTGGCATCCTTCTCTTTTTAGGAGGAAATGGCTTGATGTAATCCACATTAGGTCAAATATCACTACCATTGAGTGGCTTAATGGTGTACATGTAGGCATTACAAAACATTGTTGTGGTCAACCATGGTGATACATAGTCCTCTGGATCCCTATTGAGGTTTTAAATGGTAGCATATGCATGTGCGCAAGGGTAACCTGTTAATTGTTAAGCTCTACATCCACATGTTTCTTACCAAGGTCTACAGCATATGAATCATATATAAGCCTCACTTCAAATTGTTGATAACCAGATGTTACAACTCTCCAAAATCTGTCCACACGCACACACACACACACACACACACATATATATATATATATATATATATATATATATATGTAAGTATACACAATTGAACGACACACACATATATATATATATATATATATATATATATATATATATATATATATATATATAAAACGTATTCAACCACTAACCTTTAAAGTTCCTTAATCTTGGACAATTCTAGTGTAATGACAGGACATATGTTTAAGTCTCCCCAAGAAATCCCCTTACTTTTTTGTCTACAAAGTCTCTTCATCACATAAATTCTAATTTCCTCTAACATAGTGATTAGAGGTCTCTTCCTGGCAGCATCAATGATTGAGTTAAAACTCTCAGATACACCATTTTCATATGCATCACATGCCCTATCAGTATTAAAGAATGCTTTACTCCAAATTTTAGGGTCCCTCTACATTAGATGATCATAGGTAAGTGGTTTTATCTTCTTGATTTCATTCATATGTTGCTCAAATTTAGCCTGGGTAGTAGAAGCAGAAACATACCAGAAAAGTTTATTGAACTGTTGAACCTTGATTTTTTTTTCATGAAGTTAGCACATATGTGCCTGGCACATTGTCTATGCTCTGCTGTAGGCACCTTTTCCTTGACAGCCTTAAGTAATCCATGTTAGCATTACAAACAAAACATAAACTTCATATAAATTAAGTATTAAATAAATAGAGCATATAAAATCATTAATTTGTGTTGGTCTGATATTAATGTCAATCCATGTCCATTTTCCATTCCAATGTCATCAAGGAGAATGTCAATAAACCACTTCCATGTTTCCTTACTTTCCACTGCAAACACAACCCAAGCAAGAGGGTAGATATGGTTATTTGCACCCCTGCCTACAGCAGCAAGTAACTGACCTCTGCAAACACCATTTAAGAAGCATCCATCTAGTCCAATTACCCTCTTATAACCTTTAATCCATCCATCCTTCACACCCTTTAAACATACATAGAACTTTGAGAAGTAAGTCGCTCCATCAGGCATGACATCTACATCCATCTTCACTATTGATCCAGGGTTAGTCCTTCTTAGCTCTTGTCCATAGCTCCAAGTTTTGGCATAGTCTTCCTTTAAGGTATCATCTATCTCCTTAAATGTATACCTCCTAGCATTTCTGCAGTGTCCCACACTTGCAATCAAATTAAATGTCTTGCTAACTTTAGCCTTTAATTTCCTCACACTTATCTTTGGTTTCTGGAGTATCTCATTCATGAAATGATTCCCTATCCACTTATAACTAACAATGGACCTAAATTTGAAGACTCTTGAGCAATTATGGTTAGCAATTAAAGATTTAATCTGGAATGACCTTTCATTGCTCATCCAGATTGCCAACAACCTAAAGGGACAACCTTTATTCTTCTTATTTTTCTTACCTTTACAACATTTCACTAGTAACCTCTTATGATCACTTTTTTCATACCCATTCTTCACTGCATAATTGGTTAAACATAGCTTCAATATTGAGACATGCATGTGGTACTAGTCATCATGGATTATAGAGCATGCATCCATGATGAATTGTAAACCTGCCACCACTCCTGCTGATCTATCTACAAAATTCCACGGTTCAGCTGCCTGTAGTTGATCCTACTTTATATCATAGTCTCATTGGTACTCTTCAGTACCTTACTTTCACCAGGCTAGACATCATATATGTTGTTAAACAAATATATCTCTACGAAAGTGAATATTGAGACATGTATGTGGTACTAGTCATCATGGATTATAGATTTCAATTCTCCTTCACATGATCTTATTGCTTACTCTGATGTTGACTGGGGATTTTCCGGCACTCAACGCATTATGTTAGCTTACTGTGTCTTTCTTGGACACAATATTTTATCGTGGTCTTTTAAGTGCCAAAAACTACTTCAATATCTAGTGTTGAGGTTGAATATCGTGGGGTGCTAACGCAATCACTAAGACATGTTTGATGCATAACTTACTTCTTGAGCTCCACTATTTGTTGCATTATGCTATTCTAGTCTATTGTGATAATGTCAGTGTGGTGTACATGTCATCCAATCATGTTTAACATCAATAGGCTAAACTAATTGAGATTGCTCTTTACTTTTTTTTTGTGACAAGTTTGCTACTAATCAAGTTAGAGTTCTCCATGTGCCTTCTAAATCTCAATATGCTGATATCTTTATCAAGAGTATACCTTTCACTTTTTTCTTTTGATTTAATTTAATTTTTGGCACAACTTGAACGTTTGTAGCATTATTTTCGTTTAAAATGTAGGGGGCTATTAACGTATTGTTGTTGTTGTTGTTGCTGTTGTTGTTGTTGTTGTTGTTTATGTAATGTGTTTAGATTAGCCCATTATACATTACCTCTTTTTATATTTAACATATTTATATATTTTGTATAAATACCAATGTTTAATAAAAGATTAGATTCATAGGAAAATTACACATATCACTTATATGATTTCCAGTGCCGAAGCTAGTATTTTGTTTTAGGGTAGACAAAATAATTTACAAAATATGAACAATTAGCAAAATACTGAAAATGGTAACAAATGTAACAATAGATGATTTTCAAGTAGATTGTTCGTTTAATTGGAAGTAATTGATTAATCAAGATGATAAAAAATATATTAATATACAAACCAAATGAGCGAGGAATTCATTGTGGAGATTGAAATGCAATTTGATCTATTCAAAAAATTGTTACCTTAATTCTTTAATCCACATGTCTCAACATGTAAATTATTTCATTTTTTATGAATTTAAGTTTAGAATAGAGTGAGCCATGTTACAATTCATAACCTTAATATTTTTTATTCAAAATAAATATAAAACGTATATATAATATATTTCACCTCAAATTTGTATGGGGTGACCCAATACCCACTCTTGCACCCATGTAGCTACACATTTGATGATTCCACTTATGTCCTGTTTGATAGTTTATATCCGGAAAAGTGATGTCTAAGAAAGTGATGTATGTGAAAGTTTTCTGACTGAGAAAGAAACCATGTTGTTTGATTATATATCTGATTGACTGTGTTGAATGATGAAAAATAACAATACTACCCTACTGTTCAATATTGTGATGGATAAAATTACTGAATAATTATAAAAACATATAAATTATAAATACAAATCAAAATTACACAATAATTATTTAATAATCCAAATAGAATGTCGATTAAGTTGTTTTTAGTTATTATTTTCAAGTTGATGTTACGTTTTTATTTTTTCTAGCAATTTTAATTTTTTTTAAGTCAACATATGATTCTTGACCCGGTTTATGTCCGATAGTGGTGGATGAATGATTTTTGTAAAATATATTAGGATGATGGTGATGTTGTTTATAAAAATGATTAATCCAATAAAAATGAATTAACAAAATAATTAAAAGAAATTAATAATTTACTATAGTAATATTTACTAATATATAAATATTATATAGTTATAAATAATATTTATTAATATATAATAATTTAATAAAAAAAATAATTCATAAAAAAGAATTATCTAAAAGAATTTAATAATCATATAAAATTATATTATTTAATACATAAGTATTATATATTAAAAATAATATTTATTAATATATAATAATCTAATAAAATAATTAAAAAAATTAATAATCCAAGAAAGAAAGAGAGAGAGTTTGATGTACAATGTTTTTTCAGTCTATTCAGCGAGAAATATATGATTTTTGAGATTTTTGGAAAAAAAATATATCTTATCAGGAAATATATATTTTTTGTGCCACAAAACTGTAAAATTGGTCCTTGTGGTTTGCAAAAAACTTTGGATGGGGTTCAAAATTTTTTTGACTTGCATAGAAGATCCAAAATCAAGAATTTTCTTTGGTTTTGGTCCTTTAAAATTTGAAAAGACAATTATATCCTTATTATTTATTTTTTACATTTTCTTATTTGTTTTAATTGTTTTATAATTTAAAAAAATGCAAAAAAAAAAAAAGGGACTGGTCCACCCTCTCTCTCTCTCTCTCTCCCCCCCTCTCTCTCTCACTCTCTCTCCCCATCTTCTTCCAGGATCATCTAAACCAAACTCACCAAACCCAGCACTACCCAATTCACAAACCAAACCTCAATCTCCTTACAAGTCAAAATCAAGCTTCCCATCAGAATCATCTTTGGAGATCATGAAACCATCACAACATTTAACCCCTGTGAT